CTGCCGTGGGGCGCCTCCCCCATCCCAACCTCGTTCTCCCGCAGGAGTCCCTCTCAGCGCTGCAGTCAGAGCTGCAGGATGTTTACCCTCAGCGTCCAGACTGCAAATGAAGCGCGCATGCGCCGGGATTGACGGCGCAGTTTGATCATGCGAAGCCGCTCCGCCCTGAATTACATTCAAGGCGGGAGCGAGCGTGATATAAATCTAAAATGTTATTTGGTCTAAAATAAATAACTGAATTTGATTCACACAGTCAGTCACTTAATCACCTTTTCCATTGTGTTTTCCTCTCTAAGATTAACACTGATCTGCTGGTGAGAATCATTATGTCTCAGTCTAAACTGTACAGTCAAAAATACACAATAATTAAAATATATAAATAAACATTAATGGACAGAAAAAAGTAGCTCTATATATTGTTTAGTAAAGTGAGTAAAAACTCTATAATATAGTGTTTTACTCACTTTTTGTCTTTCTGTAACGACATTATTTCTCCCACAGCATCAATAACATGCACATCACTTCCTGTGGCAGATTATGCAAATTAGACGATGATGTCATTTAGACTTCTAGCGACTTTTAGCACAGCCAATAGCTACTCTCATTACTGAGGAGTTGGCAACACTGCGTGTGCCGAGTAGATTTATTCCATCTATTGTGTTAAAAGCAAAGCTCCTGATTTACAGCTCAGAGTTCTTGGTGAAGATCATGACCAGAAGCTCCTGGAAATGATTCTCTTTAGGATCACTAACTAATGGAATCCATTTATTTTTTATTCAGGCAGTCGGTGGGCAGGCCATCGACAGACACCTGCTGGGTCTGAAGCTTCAGGCTGCTGAGGAGAAACTTCCTGTTCCTGCCATCTTCAAGGATCCTTCCTATTCTAAAGCTCTTCACTACCACCTGTCCACCAGCCAGGTACCACAGAACCCCGATCGCTGAGAGTTCTGGACTCTTCCAGAACCTGACCCCTCTCTTTTCTCCTCCCAAGGTCCCGTCAAAGACCGACTGCGTCATGTGTTTCGGTCCGGTGGTACCAGACGGTTACGGCGTCTGCTACAACCCCATGGAGGACCACATCAACTTCGCCGTGTCGTCGTTCAACAGCTGCAGGGAAACGGATGCGGGAAGTCTGGCGGCGGCGGTGGAGGACGCTCTGCTGGACATGAGGAGGCTGCTGGAGCAAACCCCCCGATCCAAACTGTGAAATCCACCACAGACGTCTCCAGGTCCTGAAGGAGGATACAGATTCTCTACCTCTAATCACCTTATTGATCAACACTGAGCACTTTAAGGTCCTGTGATCCTGCTGGGAGGTTCTGCTCCAGATTCATCCCATGATTTTAGCTCAACAGAAACATCCGCTGGAGAAAAACAATTATTGATTCATTTTCTGATTGTTTGAATAAAAGTTTGAATGAAACATTGAAAATTAGCAAAAACAATCAGATCCTGTGGATAAAATTTTCGGGACTGTTGGTCCATAAACATTTCTGAACTTTTTTTTTCTTTTTAGATTTTCTGTTTTTAAGTCATGATTTTACTTTTAAAGAAGTTTAGATGTTTCTAAACTTTAATCTGTTTACCTGAAGCCTCAGTTTGGTCCCAGATGGACATATAACCATCAGTTCTCTGATGTTTTAATGGAAGTTTCTCCACATTATGACCTGGAGGGTTTGAATTAAACNGAAACGGATGCGGGAAGTCTGGCGGCGGCGGTGGAGGACGCTCTGCTGGACATGAGGAGGCTGCTGGAGCAAACCCCCCGATCCAAACTGTGAAAACCACCACAGACGTGTCCAGGTCCTGAAGGAGGATACAGATTCTCTACCTCTAATCACCTTATTGATCAACACTGAGCACTTTAAGGTCCTGTGATCCTGCTGGGAGGTTCTGCTCCAGATTCATCCCATGATTTTAGCTCAACAGAAACATCCGCTGGAGAAAAACAATTATTGATTCATTTTCTGATTGTTTGAATAAAAGTTTGAATGAAACATTGAAAATTAGCAAAAACAATCAGATCCTGTGGATAAAATTTTCGGGACTGTTGGTCCATAAACATTTCTGAACTTTTTTTTTCTTTTTAGATTTTCTGTTTTTAAGTCATGATTTTACTTTTAAAGAAGTTTAGATGTTTCTAAACTTTAATCTGTTTACCTGAAGCCTCAGTTTGGTCCCAGATGGACATATAACCATCAGTTCTCTGATGTTTTAATGGAAGTTTCTCCACATTATGACCTGGAGGGTTTGAATTAAACGACTCCAACCTGTTCTTCAGAGAGTTAAACCTGCTGGAGGAGGAAGCAGACATCAGGGATCAGCACCTCTATAAGAGGATGGACCTGGTTTAATCTGCTGGGAGGCTTTCAGAATAAAAGCATTGATGATTTATGATCGGATCTTTTAATCCAGAGTTTTCTTCTATTTCCACTTCCCTTCAAACTCAGACTGAACTCTTCATGCTGCAGTTTAGTTTATCCCCCATGGTGCCTTCAGATGGTCGGTTTAGATCAGTTTCCTTGTTTTTAATATTTCATGGTTTAAAGCAGACATGTTTCTCCTGTCTTACACAGATCTTTAAATGAAGAAATAACTCTAAAGGTTTAACTGATGATTTGTTAGTCTGACTTTTTTCATGCATGAATTTTGCTATAATTATCTTAATTGTAGATTAACATGAGAAATGTCTGATCTGAAAATCTTTGCACAGATTGGCCTTTTTTCTTAAGCTAAATAAATGCATAATTTTTTATCTACTTTGTTCCATTGAGTTTATTTTCTTCCTCAAATTATAAATCCATATCAATAAAGTAAGAACATTTAAAGCTACAGTGAGTAATTTATAGTGACGTCTAATATGCAGACTGCAGCAACATGAACCGCCTCCAAACCTAGGTGGGTTGATTCACTGACAATGGATCTGTTATGGATTGAGGTGCTGATCTATTCAGAGATTTCTAGACTAACAAAAGGATTTTAAAGTCTATTCTCTGAGCTACAGGGAGCCAGTGGAAGGACTCCAGAGCCGGGCTAATGTGCTCTACTTTCTTAGTTCTAGTGAGAACACGGGCAGCAGAATTTTGGATCAGCTGCAGCTGCCTGATGGACTTTTTAGGCAAACCTATGAAGACATTGTTGCAGTGATCAATTCTACTAAAGATAAACGAATCAATGAGTTTTTTAACAATCCTTCTTGGACATTAGTCCTTTAATCCTGGAGATGTTCTCCACATCTTCACCAAGATGTCGGCCATAATCAGTGGTTTCTAGCTGTAGCAGCTGAAGCTTTGAACTAACTATGGATCTGGATCCAAAATTCTTACCTCTGTTGCTTTTTATTCAGTTGTAGAAAATGCTTGTGCAGCTGAAGAT